TATAGATACATACTTAGAAGGATACAAATGAATTAAATTTCCACTGTGGTGCTTTATTGCTAGGGAATAAGGACAATCCAAGCTCAAAGAACGTTTTCATCTTTGTAATTCTTAACTAATTACTTTAATGCTTCCCCGCCCGCAACCATTCGGAGCTAATCACATGTTTTACTAATTGTTTCTCAATGTTTTCGTTTTCCTTGTAAAATACACTTACTTATATGGAATTCCATCAAATACATTTTCGCTTTTAACAGCTTTAACCCGCGGCTTCGTTTGCTTTGATGTCCTAAATACGCGTCAAAGACAATCGACGATCACATAAAACTAATTTTTTTCTATCCCTCGGGAACAGTATTCTTTTTCTGGATAAAAGGTACTACTCTATGTCCTTTTCTGTACCCGTGACGATGTATGTACAAAATTATATTATATGAATGTATCTTTAAAACATTTTTATAAAAAAAAAATTAAAATAATCAAATTTCTCTTTGGGTGATATGAAAAAGAAGATTTAAAATCCTATTAAATAATAGCGTCAGTCTGAAAAAGACACTAAAGAAGAAAAAGCGAGGGAAAGCATGAGCTTAGTATCGTCAATCACTAGTTCGTTAAATGGAAAAAATCCAATTTTCTCAAACTTGCCTCAGGCGTAGAATAATTCCTAGGAATCGCTAGATAATAGCTGTAAAGGCAAATAAGAATTGGAATTTTTAATAAATTACACTAAGGAAGTCTAATAAGTACTAATTAGAAAATCGAACATGTTCGACTCTATAATATTTAAAGACAAATTTGCTTATCAGCAGTGCACATCATAGATTTTCTGGAGAATCCAGCTGCAAGAAAACGGAAACGATTGGGCGAGGAATTAGAAGTGTTCAATTTTAGAAATTAAATTATGACATTTACGAGAAATGTTTATGTGGGTCAAACGGGCCAGTCATCTATATTTCGCAATAAAGAACACCACAAAATATGCTTCTAACGATCATCATCCTCATAAGATCGTCAGTCCTAAGACTGGTTGGACACGTACCTCCACACTTTCCTATCCTGAGCTAAACTTCGCATTTCCCTAAAACTAGAACAAATCACATCCTTAACTATTTGCGAACAGTAATCTAATCTAGGTCTACCTCTACCCCATCCTAACTCCTGTTTCTGCCTCTAATATGTCTCTGACTAGACCTCCATGCCTAAGAAGGTGACCTACCAACCTATCTCGCCTATTTTTTATTGACTTCCATAGAGTCCTCTGTTCTCGTATTCTTTCCAATACTTCTTCATGTCTAACCTTTTCTACCCACGATATCCTCATCATCCGTCTATAACACCACATTTCGAACGCTTCTAACCTTTTCTTTTCCGCCGCGCCCACTGTCCATGTTTCGCACCCGTATAATGCCGTGCTCCAAACATACACCTTTAACAACCTTNTTTACAGTTTTGCCGCAGAAACGTCAGCAAACGCCACGGTTTTGACAATAACGGCTTTCACTGTGGAAAGATACGTGGCAATATGCCATCCCTTTTTGTCGCAGACGCTCTCGAAATTATCCAGAGCCGTGAAGTTCATCATTCTGATCTGGATTTTCGCGATATGTCTGGCGGTGCCTCAAGCGTTAGCGTTTGGAATAATGACATACGATGAAGATCACAAGTAAGTACCCAATGGTGTGCATTTACCGCGAATAAAAACGAAACCACGGACTAAATGCTTTTCCGATAACAATTCCACGGTAAAGGAATGCGAAAAAACTTTTGCTTTTTTCGGTTTGTTTCAGATACTGTCAGATAACGAGGGTAATTCTTCCCCATTCGTTTGAGATTTCCACGTTCGTGTTCTTCATCACGCCGATGACAGTTATAACGATATTGTACATACGCATCGGTCTTCAGCTGAGGAAATCTACGAAAATAATCGCGAAAAGCAGAAGCATAAGGATGAAAAGGATATCATGTCAGACGCGGGTTTCGTTGAAGCGAAAAAAGAATCAAGCAATCGTGTGCGTCGACGGTCGCGAGAACGATAACAACGCGGCAGGGCCTTTTGATAAACGCGAAAACAATTGCATTCATTCAACGCAAGCCACGAAGCATGTCGTCAAAATGCTCGGTAGGTACGAATTTTTTTATCACTTATTAAATTACGTTTGGCGCAGTTGGCGTAGAAAGCCTTCACAGTGGCGGCGCCTAAATTTTGATCAAATGTTTATCAGGCAAACTCCAAATAATGATTTGTTTTTATTAAGAAATAGCCTCATAATAAAAATTTTACGATACAATTTGCAGTAAAAAATCCCATCTCCTTTGCACTTCATTGAAACCCGCCTCCCCAAATTCCAGATTGTTTACTACCAAACTAATTTTAACATCGTCGGAAGCTAAAGAGTTATGACAAAAATTGCCTGCGCCTTTACAAAAAAACATAATACAAATTTAAAACAAAACAAAAATAATTGGCTTAGGGACGAAAAAATACCGGAAATTTTTTTACAATATGATCCCACCTTGTTTATTACAAATTCTGTGCGACAAACAACGAAATATATGCACTGTTTAATGTAGCAACAACGCTGAATTAGCAAGGAAGTTGACTTTTATTAGAACAGATGCTTTTCGGAAAATTTCGGTATTTAAAATGAAGAGAGGAGGCACTGAGTAATCCTCGCCCTACAGTTTCATTTAAATAATTAGAAAGTTGACAACGAAGCTTTCTAAATAGTCTAACAATCGTAAAAATAGAATTACCATCTTCAAGGAAATCGTCTGCTCTATGTTTCTCTTGCAGTTTTACAAACTAATTTAAAAGACAAAACGAGACGCGTGAATCTTATAACAAAAGAAAATTTATATCTCCAGCCTTTTACTACTGCATTTAGAGTCGACTTAATTAGGCAATCTATCTATTCCGAAACAAGCTGGTGTCTTAATATTTACTTGTTACAGTTGCGGTTGTGGTGGCATTTTTCATATGCTGGGCGCCATTCCATGCCCAGCGCCTACTAGCAATTTACGGTCAGCCAACGTCGAAAGGGATGGTAACAACATTCGTGGCATTGACATATGTTAGCGGTGTCCTTTATTACCTTTCAACGTCCATCAATCCGCTACTGTATCACATCCTTTCGCATAAATTTAGGATAGCATTCAAGGTACCATACTTTATATAAAATACTTTTTTGTTTACTTTTGTCTGTTTATTGTTGTACCTACACTATGTCTGATTAGTATTCTGAAATGTTTGAGATATCTGCATCCACTTTAGATTGATGTATGTATGAAAATTACCCTAGTTAACGAGCCGTCAACTCGGCAGGATGGCGTCAACTAACGAAACACACATACCTACTCGTGACCGTCGCAACAGCTAGTACGTAAATAGGTCAATTGTACGCGACGACGCCCGCAAAATATGCGGACAAGGCGTTATATATGGTCGGTGTAGTGAGAATGCACTGTCGGCATCATGCGATAGATATACAGGGGCAGAAGATTATTATGCTTAAATTTGCAGATGATATAGCAGTAGTAGCATCTAACAAGAATAAGTTAGATATAGATTTAAATAAACTGAAAAGCGGTATTGACAAAACAGTATTGTATGAAAATAAATAAAAGTAAAACTAAAATACTGGTATGCAAGGGAAGAAAAAGTAGGGAAAGAGCGAATGTAAAGATAGAAGACGAAAAATTACAAAAAGTGACTGATTTTAAGTATCTAGGAAGTCAAATAAGTCAGGACGGAAGGAGTAGTAGGGATATAAAGCAGAGGATAGCGCAGGATCGTGTCGCTTTTATTAAAAAGGAGTCAGTTCTATGCTTGCAAACGGTTAATTTAGAAATTCGGAAAAGATTGTTAAAGGTGTATATTAGGAGCTGTACGGATGCGAAACATGGATGGTGGGCGCGGCGGAAAAGAAAAGGTTGGACGCGTTCGAAAAGTAGTGTTACAGACGAATGATGAGGATACCGTGGCTAGAAAAGGTTAGAAATGAAGAGGTATTAGAAAGAATAGGAGAACAGAGAACTCTGTGGAAGTCAATAAGAAATAGGCGAGATAGGTTGGTAGGACACCTTCTCAGTCACGAAGGTTTAATCAGACATATTAGAGGCGGAAACGAAGGTAGGAGGGGTAGAGGTAGACCTAGATTAGATTACTGTTCGCAGATAGTTAAGGATAGGGGTTGTTCTAATTTTAGGGTAATGTGAAGGTTAGCTCAGGATAGGAAAGAGTGAAGGTGCGTGTCCAACCAGTCTTAGGACTGACGATCTTATTATGATGATGATGAAAAGACTATCCCGGTTTGAGTAGCCGAGTCAGGGATTCCGCGTGATATGGTTCGGCCAATTTTAATTGTGTCATTACCGGCAGTGCATTCCTTCCTTACCTCTGTTTGCGTACAATCTCCACCAAGGCATGTATCGATGCCATTTTATACAAACAGGCTAGGTAATCCTGGTCATCATTGCCGGAGCAATTGGGGCATTATCCTTATGGTTTCCAGATGACCCATTCCATTTCTTTTTCGTGTGCCTTCTTCCCCTTATTTTTTCTGGAGCACTGTTCAGACATAGTGTATAACAAAATATAAAAAAAAACTAATCCACAACAACAAAACTTCGAGTAAAAAGCTATTCAATCTACTTATTACTTATTCAATATATATTTGTTCAGTTTTATTTCTAACTAATGTGACAACAACATTATAGTCAATTTTGTGACGTATAACCACATTTTACTGCACATATATATATTTTTTAAGAAGATTAGGTCACTTTTTGTTGGTAATTTGCTTTGTTTGTTATTATCCTCACATACGTATTCACCTACCCCAAAAAGCGTATGTTGATGGCAAAGTTTAAGGAATTTTCCTTACGGTTTATAATCAATAAAGTTGATTCTTTCTTATTTGACCGTTAAGACCTTCTAATGCGTCTTGGTGTCTACATTTCACGTTCTCGTCCTGTCAGCACATCGGATCCTTAAGGCCTTCGTTAATGCACGTTTCGTCCATGTTATAAACATGCTCGTACCATCGCAACCGTCATAAACTAATGTCATCACCGCTAACGTTCCTCTTTTACTCGTTTTTTTTCTTAAAATGTAGCGCATTAACAGTGTGATGTTATCTACCAACCGTAAATTATTTTCGTATTTTTAAAGTGTAAGTATTCACGAATTTCACTTGAAATAAACTATTGGGATCCGTCAAATGGGCATACACCATCTGGTGGCAAAATTTATAACTCGAATGAGGGAAAAATTTACATAGGAACTGTGCACGCAAATTGTAAAATTGTTTATTAAAATAACAAAACACGTTAAAAAGGTAAAAATTTTTTTGATGATGGAGTCGACGAAGTTTTCTTCTAAAGTTAAATCAAATAAAAAGTTAATATGTTCAGTGAAAAGCTGCAATAGCACTTCAGACATAGATCTTCACTCTTCACCTACATTAACTACTTTCCAATAAAAACTAACCGTTTTATATATGTAAAAAATATATTCGGAAAATTAGAGAAAAAAGTAAACTAATAGAAGCTTGGATGAAAGCAGTAGGTATCAAAGAAGTGAATTCCGGAATAAAAATTTGTTCACGTCATTTTAATGCACATGATTATATTTCAGCAAGTATTTACCATCAGCCATAACCTTAATATTTAAAACTAGAATCATACTAAAATTATAAAGTGAGAAATTATTTATTCCTGTGTAATTGATTTAACACAATTCTAATGATACGATATAAGTATTTTGAGGTTAAGAACCTACCTGCTGCAATACAACAAAGTTGCAATAATGTGTTTGCAACGTTCTCTTAAATCGGCTTTGCACGTGCAAGTCATTGATATGATATTGCTTAAATCACCCAGAATCACCTCACCAATTATATAACGTGAATCACTTTTTAAATCCGAAGTTTGTAAAAAGTAGGCAGTAAACTTGACGGAATTTGAAGGCTAGCTTCCGGATTTGTTATTTCCGAATTTTATAATGTGATTGACATTAAAACCACTCTCACCTTCAACGAAATTTCCTTTCCGAGGCTTTGTGTCAGCCCAATCACATATTGTGTCAATACTTATCAATTTATCGTAATTCAAAAACTTGGAAATTGCACGGTACACTATAGGAACTACGATAAATTTTCCCTAATCGGCGCCATGTTTTTAGGCTCCTCCTTTGACGGATCCCAATAGTGGGAAAAAATTAATTTCACAGAAAGTGTTTTAGTTAAGGAAACAAGATTCATTAATGGGACGGAAAAATTCCTACTTTGATAAATAAAAGAAACAAAAGTCAATGCATTTCTTGCTTCCTTCTTTTTTATTGTGTTCATTTGCGTCTCCGTGTTTTAGTAATTTGTGAAATACTTGAAGCAGTCGTTGACCCTTGTAGAATAACGCGAAGGAATTAATTTACACATTTCGTATTATTTAAAACTTCAACGGAAAACAGAATAAACCGTTTTTATTAAATGGCTCGTTTTTTCTTTTTTACGTGCGTGGAATTTGAAATGAGTCGCAAAGGTGTAGCATTAATGGACTCTCTAAAAAAAATGACTCTCAGGTCATAATAAAAACTTTTAGAGCCCTTTATATGGTTATTTCTGGGGAGCTTTTATATTTACAACCGAAAATATCAATGTAGTACCTTTCATTCGTTTAATAAACGACTTTCAGACGCGCTAGAATACGTTATGAAACAAATTCGAATTGAAATTCTTTTAATTCCATTGGCGTCACCGTTACTAATACTCAGTATTACTTTTGATGCATTCAATTTATCGAAAAGATCTCTCAACCCCTATTTATGGTACAATATACCTATGTATCGTACTTTTTACAATTTGTTTACTCGGCAGTCGAATTCCGCAAGAAATATAACCTTCCAAACCCAAGGAAATTCCACTTTATGATGTCACACAGATTTCCGATTCGTTTTCTGCGCTTTTCACGAAATTTGATTTAGAAAATTACTTTTAAAAGATGCTACTTTATTTAATAGCTCTAACCAAAGGAAGTATATCTTCTGGTACATTAAAAAATAGAAATAAAAGTGCGAACATTTTGAGACACCGTGTATATGACCCAATAAAAATTTCATTTCACAAAACAATTCTTTATCAATTGATTGACGTGAATACAGATTGAAAAAGAACACAAAATTCAAAAAAAAAATCTGATACCTTCTGTTTCTATATGGAAGTACGTGATTTTAAACAGTTTTTCTTACTCAATTTACAAAAGAAACTGTCCATTTCCGAACAAAAAAAGGAGAAAACTTGTCACAACATTTACACCATAATTCAACAGAATAAACGGCAAAATTGTCAAAAAGTATTTCTTTTAGGAACTCACCAATTCTCCCGTTTCTGTGAAGTACGATAATCTTAGACGACGGTAAATCTGCAAACAAAAAAATAAGTGATTTCTTCTGCAATAATTGTAGTTTTGAATTTTCAAACGTACCAGTACCGCATTCCAAACCCTACCGACGCGCTAGTTAATTAAATTAAATTAAATTCTAATAAATTCCGTCGTGAGAACAACCGCCAAAAGGGAAAGAAATAAGCAGTTGAACTTTTAAACGTTCTGGCTTTGCTTCGAATTCTTAAAGCGCCTTTTTTAACCTCCCTCAAATTACTTCAGAGTTAATTAAAAATTATCTATCATTTTTTTTTGTCGGATATCAAAGTTTGAGCTTCGCATCTAATCAGAAATTGAGGAAAATTCGATACCTACTGGTTTTAAACAATGCCAACGCTTATAAATGAAATTTTCCTGGTGTATACCACCACTACGTAACACTTTCTGTCGTAAATATTAATGTGAAAATTGATTCAATTTTTATCCATTATAAATTACCTCAAGTTAGTGAGGAAAAATGTGTCGCTGTTATCACACCCTCGCCGGGAATCGAACCCGGGACCTTTGGCTTCACGCGCCAATGCACTGACCACTGAGCTAGAAGAGATAACAACAACAATGAACCAACGACAAACTAATTTATGTATATTAATACTATATGAAATACTGTAACGTTCAATAATGGTTAATAGTAAATGTTAATGTGAAAATTCATTTAGTTTTCATCCACTATAAATTACCTCTCGTGGCTTAGTGGTTAGAGCATTGGTGTGTAAATCCAAAGGTCTGGGGTTCGATTCTCGGCGAGGATGTGACAAAAATTGAATGAATTTTCACATTAATATTTAATACAAAACCACTATTAAATATATCAAAGTGTGTCGTGTAGCATTAACTCTCTGTTCATTTAAAAAGTCATAGTCGTTTCAAAAGCTAAACAAGATCAATGTGAATACATCAATGTCAAAAGCTGTTTGGCCTTACAAGAAAATGGTATTGAAATAAATAAACACATCCATCGATACTAATCACTCATCTATAAATAATACAGTGTGACGGGCGTTCTTCTTTCAGAAAACATTCTCAAATTGCCTCAGAAAGGGCCAAGTAACACGCAGGAGTTACTCGGCCTTGTCGGGAAAACTGTCGCTAGTTAATAGCCACGTCAGTTCCGATTCCGGCCGTCCGCAGTATTCAAATTCGGAAAATGCACAAATGATCCATCAAGCCGCCTTCGCAGCCACCGAAATCGGCAACAAAAACAAACTCGACAGGACCAAAATATCCCTCAACAGTCGAGTCCTTACAGATTCATCCGAAAATTTACACGAACTATGCTACAAAGACTACACAATCGGCATGGAAAATCCACCACAAGAAGGTAAGAATTCGACTAAAAGCAAACATTAACAGAATTAGGTCTCATTTGTGTTGGGAAAATTGGTTTTCTACATGTCTTTATACATAAACCAATAAGAATTTGACTAGCTCGTGCAATACGACTGGAAATTTCAAATCATTTTGTAAATAGTCCAATGGCTAGAGCGCAGCTCTACCACGTCGGAGTGCCCGAGATCAAACTCTGCAACGTAATCAGACTTTTTTAGCTTTTTTTTATGTAATATAGGAAAAAAATTTGGATTACCTACAAACCAAGACCAATATACAGAATTAAAATTTATTCTACTTAGATCTCTTAAGGACTATTCATTCGTATACGAATACTTATCAATTTATCGTAATTCAAAAACTTGGAAATTGCACGGTACACTATAGGAACTACGATAAATTTTCCCTAATCGGCGCCATGTTTTTAGGCTCCTCCTTTGACGGATCCCAATAGTGGGAAAAAATTAATTTCACAGAAAGTGTTTTAGTTAAGGAAACAAGATTCATTAATGGGACGGAAAAATTCCTACTTTGATAAATAAAAGAAACAAAAGTCAATGCATTTCTTGCTTCCTTCTTTTTTATTGTGTTCATTTGCGTCTCCGTGTTTTAGTAATTTGTGAAATACTTGAAGCAGTCGTTGACCCTTGTAGAATAACGCGAAGGAATTAATTTACACATTTCGTATTATTTAAAACTTCAACGGAAAACAGAATAAACCGTTTTTATTAAATGGCTCGTTTTTTCTTTTTTACGTGCGTGGAATTTGAAATGAGTCGCAAAGGTGTAGCATTAATGGACTCTCTAAAAAAAATGACTCTCAGGTCATAATAAAAACTTTTAGAGCCCTTTATATGGTTATTTCTGGGGAGCTTTTATATTTACAACCGAAAATATNGTAATATAGGAAAAAAATTTGGATTACCTACAAACCAAGACCAATATACAGAATTAAAATTTATTCTACTTAGATCTCTTAAGGACTATTCATTCGTATACGAAATAGTTTTCAATATTAATATATTCGTTTGTTTCTTCACTTATAATGACTTTCTAGAAAACGGTTTCAACAATTGGGATGCAATTTATAATATAGGGGGTTAAAAATCAATCTAGCTAGGCCTCATTTCCGAGAAAATGAGTTTTCTTCATGTTTTCACACACAAACCAACAAAATTTTGACATATCCGCGCAATACGATTGGAAATTTCGCCTCAGAGATCATTTTGTAAAAAGTCGAATGGTTACAGCGTAGGTCTATCACGCCGGAGGACGCGAGACCGAATTCTGCAACGTGGAAGAACTTTTTTAGGTTTCTGTATGGTATATCGAAAACAAACTCAGAATTGCCAATATTAAAAATAAAAAGTAAATTAGTTCATGCTCAAAATTGTCTAACAGAAAAGGAAAAATCTGACTTTTAATTTTAATCACTCCGTATTTTCGGAATTAGCAGCTGCTGAACAAACCACCGTTTAATTTTGAGCAGATACTTATGGATACAGAACATAATACGCCACCAGTAGGTACATATCCCCATTTATGTAGAATTCCATGCAAACAAAACGCAATGGACACTTGTAAATTCCCATGCACTATTCCGGGAATTTTCTGATTGAACAATGCAGTATGCGCTGTATTTTCACAGTTAAGTTCCCTGCTTATTAACAATTTATTCAGTTGCACACGTGCACTTCATTTACGTACAAATTTGATTAATTCAAGTAAAATTATTAACTTGTAGAGTTCCACAATTTACATATAATAGTCTGGACAAAACAATTGAAAAACGTAGAATTACAATAGCCACGGATGAGATATATAATGTGGGTTGCCTAAATTAGTCGATTCTAAGCGCAATAGTAAAAGGCAAGAGATATGAATTGTGACGAACTTTTAGTGAAACCGCAAATGTTGCAAATTTTTATATAATGATATATAATGTGGGTTGCCTAAATTAGTCGATTCTAAGCGCAATAGTAAAAGGCAAGAGATATGAATTGTGACGAACTTTTACTGAAACCGCAAATTTTCATTTTTATTTCCTATATTATGTAAACACGATCTTTAACAGTTACAGAATGCAAAGACAGCAACGAATTGTCTCTCCTGCAAGAGAACAACGAAAGACTGAGAGAAATCGAAATTTTTCAAAGTCAACAATTAAGAATCAAGAGGGTAGAAGGTAAAATCCAAATAAACATAAACTTTGTCACTTTACCGAAATCGGTCACTGTGCCGCAAATAGCGACGCTGCCCCTACATCTGGACATCGAAAACGAGAGAAATCAAAACTTAAATGAAAATTACAGATGCAAAAGTGGAAGTGCAACACAACTATGCAAAAATAGTGCGAATTACATTATTTTGAAACAACAAGTTTTGTAGGTAACTCCGCAACAAAACTGACTCTTCCTGTACGCATTAAATCGATAAGATGTGATATTATTTACGAAGGCAATGGCGCAATTATCTATTAATGATGTGATTTAGGGCCTCAAATGACCGCATCAAACTGTTGGTTAGTTGTAAATAAATATTTAATGCGTGTTGCTAAGTGTTTTCGATGGAATATAATGAATAAATTGTTACGAATTTTTATGTTTTTCTTAATTTTCCTAAAACCTCATATTAGGTACCTGCAAATATATTCTTCAAATGCTTAAAACATTTTTGATAAATAAGTAATTAATCAATAAACGAATCTAACAAATGCAGCATTTAATTATTAATTAAATAAAATATTTTCTACTTGCATCTACTCGTTTCGTATTTTGGAGAAAACTCGGGAAATGTCTAAGGTAAGTTGTTAATTAGTTAATTATTTACTGTAATTACCAAATATAGGGTTGTTCGGAAAGTCATTTCCTTTTTTCCCGACAGAGGATTTAATTGTATTCTTTTGCACCCAACTTCACATTTAAGTCGTATAATTTTTATATGCTTTGAGAGCTCATATAGCAAGGCTTGTGTGTGAAAAATTCCAATTAATTCTACGCAGTAGTTTTTGGTTGGTGCCCTTTTAAATATGGAGAGCGA